ACACACACACACACACACACACACACACACACACGCCCAGTAGTTTATAATGTTTTCATGTGCACACACTGTAAAATCAAGTGCTCTTCCAGGACAATAAACATTTACTCACCACTTCAACTACTTTCTGCAAACACACTGATTCTTCCCTGTCAGCGACACGAACTCACCTTAAAAGTATCGTGACACCAGTTTCAGACCCAGCTTGATAAAACCCTCGTTCCCCCTAATGTTCAGGACATGTCTCGAGCGGAGAGCGGCGAGGCGGTGCAGTGTGAGAAAGACCTGGCCTGTTACCTGCAGGACTGCGAGTCTCTGATCAGACAACTCAACCAGGAGCTCAAAATCCTGCAGGAGGAGAAGTACTACCAGGTGGCGCAGCTGGCGTTCAGGTGAGTCAGGAGGGGAGCGTGTGGTGAGGGGTGGTTCTCCACTGAACAATGAGTCACGGAGCAATTAACAGCGTGTTTAAGCTGATTACTTTCATCTTCCTCCACCAGAGTGTCCTGCCTTCAGGAGGAGCTGGTCTCCCTCAGACTGCAGTGCTCCAGTGTCTACAGGAAAGGACATTTCTCTCAGGCTCTGGGCAGCACCGGAACCGAGCACACCAGCCAGCGAGTCACCGACAGCGGCCTGTCACTCGGTCAAACGCTGCTGGGAGCCGTGGGAGCTGTGGGGGCCGTTGGAGCCGCGCTACTACGGCGACCCATGGCCCGTTCCCAGCTGGTGGCCATGTCTTCGTCAGAGGACGAAGGGAGTCTGAGGTTCATCTACGAGCTGCTTGGATGGGTGGAAGAGACGCAGGTCAGTCTGTGTATTTCTTTCATCCAGGGCGGCAACTACAGAAGATTTTTATTATGAATTAATCTGCTCTTCATTTTATTTGATTAATCTGGGGATCATCTCGGAGTTTGACGAGAAATAACTGAAAAAAATATTTTACAATGAAGCAGAAACTTTTATACAAAGAGTTTGGTATTTGTTCTTAGACCTTCTACAAAATGATTAAGGTTTTATATTTAAGATGATCTAATGTGATGAAAGCATGAAAACACATTGAACTGAAGACTGAACCGTGAATCTCTCTGTGTTAGGAGCTGTTGGAGCGAGCTGAATGGGGAGCGGACCTCCCTTCTGTAGAACACAACCTCCAAGAGCACAACAACATACACACTGCAGTTGAAGAGTTAATGAGCAGCCTGCAGGAGGCACGCAGCTATGAGGTGCACACACACACACACACATATATACAGTATACATACATATATATAGAAGGAGCTGAGAGCGCTGGTTTGTTATGAACTTGTGTTGTTTTCTCCTCCAGGCAAAAGTTTCCCCCAACTTCAAAAGCAGTTACTCAGAAACCCTGGCCAAGCTGGAGCATCAATACTGCAAACTACTGGTCAGTGTGTGTGTGTGTGTGAGTGTGAGTGTGTGTG